AAGATCATTTCAGAAATCGTCAAATCACTTTTTCTAGTTACAGGAACACTTTAAATCAAGATCATGATGCATCTACACACTGTATAAATATGGGAAATTATTTGGACAAAAATACTTGGTGTAGATATTTTCGCCAGGTAGTGCTACCCTCTTTGCTGGTTTTACATTTGGCCATATGTTTGGAAGTGTAGCTTAACTGTGCAATAGCATGTTGCTGCAATGTGTGCTGAAAATAAAGAACACCACAGAAACAAAAGGAGCTTTAGGTAGGTTAGGTCATAAACTTAAGATGACAGATTTCACCCGCTGAAAAATGGATCTTCAAAATCTCCTTTCCTTGAAAAGAACTTGACATATTTCATTCATTGCATTTAACTGCAGCAAAAGGCATTAAATGCATGCAAAAAAAATCTCAAAGACTGAATCCTACCTCAGGGAAACAGGCACACATAATAGAAGCATAGGGCCGAAGGAACTTAAAGGGCTGCTTAACAGTTTTACAGGGTACTATTATGCATTTTTACAAGCAGGCCTAGAATGGAAACTCTCTGCTGGTAACTTGCACTTATTTAAGAGTGGATCAAAGAGAGCCGAGAAGCTGGCAAAAGGGACAGAAAATACTTGCTAAGAAAAATCTTCTGTGTGTTCTCTGTACTACACCTACACTTCATGTGAGTATCCTTTCGGATGTCTTCACAAGCATCCAATCCCCCTGCTGAGCACTCTGACCACTCACCCTGGGGACTGTGAGCACAGAAATGGCTAATGATGACAAACCTAATAACTGCTATGGGACAGGCTCCCTGTGCTGCAGTAATTTCCCATCAACATACACTATGTCACATCACAGCCCAGTACTAGTGCTGATGCATCTACTCAGTTGTGTGGGGGACAATGTCAAAGCCAGATAACTGCAGTTGTCAGCATAGAGGCTCTTTGCTGCTGTGCTTCAAAATCTGTTCTGTGCCTAAAAGCTGGTAAGTGTCAAGGGCCTAGCTAGTCGTTCAGATCTGATCAAATTTGAAACGTGTCAGGATGCTGCACGTGTACAGATGTCAGGGGAGCCAGGAATGAACTGAATAAAGCTCAGTGGAGCTGATGACTACCCAGAAAAGCTGTTTTTTTAAATCAAGATAGCACACACCAATGCAGCTAAAGAACATCAAGGAACTATGCAACCATCTGGATGACCTGAGGTAGGAAAACCACAAAACAGGTTAGTGAAAAAGTAGGCTGTTTTTCAAGTGTAACATGATTAGATAAGTGTTATGTATATTATGAAAGCATAAAAAAGAACAGCAGGTTTCAAAAAGCAAGAAGACCCTTAACCATTGACATACAGCACTACATCCAAAGACCATATTCTTTTTTTGCTGTCAGCCCGCAAATTCACCTTCAGTTCTGACTGTAGCCATCTGATTTAGTTGTACAGTCAGAACATTCTTGCATAGCCTGCCACTGGCATCAGTGAAGTACACGATAAAGACAATGGGCTGCACAGGTAAAGCTACGGCCACTACGTTAGAAACTTTATTGTGGGCAACAGAGAATTGACTGGAGAAAAAAAAAAATCAGTTGGAAAGAGACTACAGGGAGATCAGAAGTAAAAAAAAGTCAAACTTTGAATCCACTTTATTTGCAGACTGAGCAAGTTTTATCTCAACATTAAAAACAGAAAGTGGATCTAGAAACTAAAAGTCTCATTACTACAACGTCCCTTTTCCAAGACTGAATAGCACCATAACACTGCATTTATTTCTTTTCTTCTTCTATTTTCCTTCCTAGTTCCTAAGCTATTACGAAGCTCTACTAGCTTACAGAGGAAACTGCAGCTAGAACAAATTCCAGTTCCATTATCTAGGTGGACTCCTCAGTAACAGTGCTAGCCTTCAGGCTGTTCCATGGATACTTCCCACTCTTGATCAAGGCCTCTTGAGAACTAAGAAAAATAAGCTCCTTAATCTTCATTTAGCAATTTAAGTACTGAAAGATCAGAACTTAAAATTCCACATCTATTTAACACTTGGTTAGCCATCATTAAGCAACTTGGCACTATCTACATTTCTGATAATACCATCCTAGTTAATCAGCAACTGTTACCACTCACTGATTACACTCTGCCAGCCTCCTGGAATACTTCCATACATTTGTGACCCAGTGAAACAGGCTAACTGCGTAGATAGTTTCCACTTATTCACCAGGTTCTGACCCAAAGCACTCAAATGATGACACAGCTGGAGCATTGAAGACTGGCAATAGAATCTGAGATGGAAGATAACAGAGGATGTTATGTACTGGTGGGGTGTGGGAGAGGGGTCTAAGGTCAATTATCTGCATGGAAATACACTGAAAACAAAAATCCCAGAAAACCTCTGTTACCAGCTGCATTGTCCTCTCTGGGGAGATTAAATATTTTGAATCTGATGTCCAAACAACTAAACAATAACCTTCAACACAACATTATTTCTATAGGTACCTTTATCCATTTTTCCCCTGAAGCATCTTCTCTCTCTAAAAGAAGCATTTGGTTAAAAGTTTCCTTAACCACAGTCTTTTCAATTTTTTATGAAAAGACACATCTTGATAATTTCTCACTCTGCTTCAGATCTTATGAAATCATAGAACACAGGATATCCTGTATACCTATATACCTACTTTCCTGAAGGGAAAGGCTGAGGGGTAAAAAGTAAGAATAAATTAAGCTTAAATTTAAGCCTAAAGAAGTTTCATTTTGCAAAGCACTGAGCAGATATTCTTAATTAAGCCCACGAGCACTTCACAATTTGGGTAAATAAGTAAAAGTGGTATTTGGTAGATGGGGAGCTTTCCTGCTTAAAACCTAGACTCAGTTCCCACTGAAATCAACAGGAGTTAAATGTTCAGCAAATCTGCACAATAAAGCCACCAATATATGCCACTTTAATGCCATCTCAATAGGCTTTTTTCAGGCACAGGTTACTGAAAAGCTTAAATATGCCCCAAGTCACACTGCAAATAAGCACCACATGTGTAACTTATGCCTCGATTAGAGATGTCTGGAAAGTTTATTTTAAAATTGTGTTTTATCAGAAATGAATGGTTTAATAAAAGAACCAATTTCCTCAGAAAGGATCAAATACTTCACGAAAATGTCATCAGGGAGGTTTCAGAGTGATATTTTGAACTAAATAAGTGGAAAAGACTCATGCTGGAGGAGCCAGCAACCCAGAGGTCCAGGCACTGCTTTTGGATGTGGGATTCAAATCTCTGCCCTGCCTGATCTGGTGCCCATGGTCCCAGGGATTACTTTATCCCCTCAGCTTACTGCCTATGCTGTATGGCAGGTTAAGCTGACAGACTGTCCCTGTCTTGTATTCTTCACCAAAGTTCTCAATTTTTCCTCAAAAGGATTTCCATCTCTCTCAAATTCCTGATTAATGAGAGGCCTCCTGACTGAAAAAACACCCCTAAAAACAACTCTATAATATCACTTCTATAATATCTGCCTTTTTGGCAGAGTGGAAGCACCTTAATGACTGCAATGTGTATTCAAGGG